CTCCCCCACCCTCCCGCTCCCCCTGATGACGCACATTCCTCCTCATCAGTATCATCGCCACCACATTTAATCAGAATAATCAACGTCCTCATCACCATCGTCACTATCGTCATCACCATCATCACCATCAGCATCACCAGCATCGGGATCATCAGCAGCATCATCATCATTGACATAGCTAGCCATCGTCAGCAACAGCACCCTCTTCACCCGCATGCTCCTATTCACTGCCGTCGTCTTCGTCATCCTGAACACTATCATCAGCATCACAATCGCAATCATCACCATGCGAGCGTTTTCTTATTCGGCGTTTCGACATTGGGCGGAAGGGGAGGGGAGGGGAGGGGGTCTGGCTCTGGACCTCTGCTTAATGCGACTGCTTGCAACAGTGCGTCCTGTGGGGAGACCCCACCAGCCTGAAACAGGCGCAAAAAATAGCCACGATCCAGTACGAGGGCCCGCGCCGATCGGCAAAACAATGAATGAGAAAACGATGACCATGATGCGTATCTAGAAGAAGAAAAAACGCCATAAACATAAAGTTGTGGCGCTCGCCAGTGGTGCCTTCGGTGGAGCTCCCTATGGGCCCACGAATCGCTGTACTGGGTTGGGGAACCGCACGCGAGCGCAGCCACTGGGGCCTTCGGTGGAGCTCCTTAGTTGGGCGCCCGAGTTATCCGGGGTAACTCGGGTCCGGGGTAATTCGGGTTTGGATTCCCGAAAAAGGAACCCGACTTAGCCCTGACCCGAGTTACCCCTGATGATGTGGGGCTCTGGACGCCCGAATTATCCGGGGTAACTCGGGTCCGGGGTAAGTCGGGTTCGGATTCCCGAAAAACGAACCCGAGTTAGCCCTGACCCGAGTTACCCCTGATGATTCGGGGCTCTGACTTAGGGCCTTCGGTGGAGCTCCCCGTGGGGCCACGAAGCGCTGCACTGGGCCAGGGGAACCGCATGCGAGCGCAGCCACTGGGGTCTTCGGTGGAGCCCCTTATGCGGCCAGGAAGCGCTGTACTGGGTGGGGGAACTGCAGACGAGCGCAGCCACTCGGGCCTTCGGTGGAGATGCCTACAAAACGTTGTACTCGGTGAGGGAACCGTATGCGAGTGCAGCCACTGGGGCCTTCTGCAAGGGAAGAGAGGGAGGGGGAAAAAAGAGTGAGTGACGCGGGTGGGGCGCTGTCTCTTCAAAACGAGGACCCAACATCACAGGATGGTTTGGAAAATGACCTTGGCGAAAGACCCAATCATATGCAGTTGTGTGTTTCGCAGTTGTGGGTATCGTCTTCGGTGGAGCCCCCTACGGGGCCACGAAACACCGTACTGGGCGGGAGAGACGTATGCAAACTTTGCCACGAAGACTTCCAGTGGAGCCCCCTATGGGCCACGAAACGCTGCACTGGATGGGGAGACGCATGCGAAATTTGCCACTGGGGCCTTCGGTGGAGCTCCCTATGGGGCCACGAAACGCTGTACTGGGTGGGGGAACTGCATGTGGATTTTGCCACCTTCGGTGGGGCTCCCCATAAGGCCACGAAACGCTGTACTGTGTGGGGGAACCGCATGTGGACGGTGCCATTGAGGCCGCCGGTGGATCTCCCGATGAGGCCACGAAACGCCTTACTGAGACCTTCGGTGGAGCGTACTACCTATACGACCACCCTGCGGGTGATAAGGAGGTGAGGGGGGAGGGGGAACCAACGTCTCACTCAATCGATCTCGCTATCGATCTCACATTCGATCTCACTATCGATATCACTATCGATCTCGCTATCGATCTCACTACCGATCTCACAACCGATCTCACAATCGATCTCACATTCGGTCTCACATTCGGTCTCACTGTCGATCTCACTATCGATCTCACAATCGATCTCACAGTCGATCTCACATTCGGTCTCACATTCGGTCTCACTATCGATCTCACTATCGATCTCACTATCGATCTCACTATCGATCTCACAGTCGGTTTCACATTCGGTCTCACTATCGATCTCACAATCGATCTCATTATCGATTTTCACTCGGCAATTTTCACTCGGCACCATCATCATCATAATCATCATTGCCATCATCATCTCACAATCGATCTCACTATCGATCTCACAATCGATCTCACTATCGATCTCACAATCGATCTCACATTTGGTCTCACTATCGATGTCACAATCGATCTCACAATCGACGTCATCATCATCATCATCAACAACAACAACACCAACATCATCATCTTCATCATCATCATCGCCATCATCACCATCATCATCATCATCATCACCATCATCACCATCATCATCATAATCATCCACATCATCATCGGGACACCGACGGGACACCGACGGGACACCAGCGGGACACCGGCGGGACACCGCGCGCCACTGGCCGCCCGGAAGAACCACATTTGGTCCGGCCGCGCCTCAGCCACAGGGACACCGACGGGACACCAGCGGGACACCGGCGGGACACCGCGCGCCACCGGCCGCCCGGAAGAGACACATTTGGTCCGGCCGCGCCTCAGCCACAGGGACACCGACGGGACACCAGCGGGACACCGGCGGGACACCGCGCGCCACCGGCCGCCCAGAAGAGACACATTTGGTCCGGCCGCTCCTCAGCCACAGGAGACTTTCCTCTCGCCCGACCACGCACCTTCGCCTCGCCCGCGCGCACGGCACGCACGAACACGAAACCGAAATCGATTTCCCGGTAGGGGGGCTCTACGTTCCACTTCGATCTCACCCCCTCACCTCCGATAGGGGCCACGAAGCACTATACTGGGCGAGGAGAACCGCATGCGAGCGCAGGCACTGGGATCTTCGGTGGAGCTCCCTATGGGGACACGAAACGCTGTACTGGGTGGGGGAGACGCATGCGAACTGTTCCACCGGGGCCTTCGGTGGAGCTCCCTATGGGGCAACGAAACGCTGTGCTGTGTGGTGGAGGCGCATGCGGGCGGTACCACTGGGGCCTTTGGTGGAGCTCCCTATGGGGCCACGAAATATTGTATTGAGTGGTGGAAAGGCATGCGGAAAGTGCCAGTGGGGCCTTCGGTGGAGCTCCCTGTGGGGCGCATGCGGGCAGTAGCACTGGGGCCTTCGGTGGAATTCCCTATGGGGCCACGAAACGCTGCACTGGGTGGGGGGGGCGCATGAGGGCGGTAGCACTGGGACCTTCATGCGGGCGGCAGCACTGGGACCTTCAGTGGAGCTCCCTATGGGGCCACGAAACGCTGTACTGGGCGTGGCGGGCACATGCGGGCAGTAGCACTGGGTGGGACATTCGGTGGAGCTCCGTATAGGGCCACGAAACGCTGTACTGGGCGTGGCTGACGCATGCGAGCGGTAGCACTGGGACCTTCGGTGGAGCTCCATATGGGGCCACGAAACGCTGTACTGGGCGTGGCGGGCGCATGCGGGCGGTAGCACTGGGACCTTCAGTGGAGCTCCGTATAGGGCCACGAAACGCTGTACTGGGCGTGGCGGGCGCACAAGGGCGGTAGCACTGGGACCTGCGGTGGAGCTCCATATGAAGCCACGAAACGCTGTGCTGGCAGTGGCGGACGCATGCGGGCGGTAGTACTGGGACCTTCGGTGGGGCTCCCTATGGTACCACGAAGCGCCGTACTGGGTTTGGCGGGCGCATGAAGGCGGTAGCACTGGGACCTTCGGTGGAGGCCCCTATGAAACCACGAACGCTGCACTAGGTGTGTCGGACGCATGCGGGCGGTAGCACTTGGACCTTCGGTGGAGCTCCCGAAACGCTGTACTGGGTGTGGCCGGCGCATAAGGGCGGTAGCAGTGGGGCCTTTGGTGAAGCTCCATATGAGACCACGAAACGCTGTACTACGTGTGGCGGACACGTGCGGGCGGTAACACTGGGACCGTCGGTGGAGCTCCCTATGTGCCCACGAAACGCTGCGCTGGGTCTGGCAGACGCATGCGGGAGTAACACTAGGACCTGCGGTGGAGCTCTTTATGGGGCCACGAAACGGTGCACTGGGCGTGGCTGACGCATGCAGGCGGTAGCACTGGGACCTTCGGTGGAGCTCCATATGGGGCCACGAAACGCTGTACTGGGCGTGGCGGGCGCATGCGAGCGGTAGCACTGGGACCGTCGGGGGAGTTCCCTGTAGGGTCACGAAACGCAATACTGGGCCTGGCGGGCTTGCAAGGGCGGTAGCACTGGGACCTTCGGTGGAGCTCCATTTGAAGCCACGAAACGCTGTGCTGGGTGCGGCGGGCGCATGAAGGCGGTAGTACTGGGACCTTCGGCGGAACTCCCAATGAAACCACGAAACGCTGTACTGGGTGTGGCCGACGCATGCGGGCGGAAGCACTGGGATTTCGGTGGAGCTCCTCATGGGGCCACGAAGCGCTGCACTGAATGTGGCGGACGCACGCGGGTGGTAGCACCCGGGAGGGCGGAGGAGGGCGGGAGGTGACGCGGGGCGCTGCGTCCTCAAAACGAAGACCAAACACCACAGGATGTTTGGGGAAAAACAGGGTGCGAGCCCCGAAGGCGGCATTTCAATTAAACAAACTACACAATGTGCACCACTGGGGGGATCAAGCACAGCTACGATTCAAGAGCGAGAATTCAACAATAGCAACAACAAGCATAAGAACAACAACACCAACAGCAACAACAACAGCAGCAATACCAACAACAACAACAGTGTTAAGACTGTTCGTGCTGACCCGTTCGCGTGTCATTCAGCACGTATATCAAAAATCCTCGGTGCTTGCCCTCTTCGTCTTCGATCACATCCCCTGGGCATATCTTCTTCAGCTGCCGCGCGTACGTGGCGCTGCTCCTAGAACAGGGGACGGGAGGACGGATGAAAGGGGGAGGGAGAAGGATGGAGCACGGAATGGAGGGAGGCTACGAGCACAAAGCACGTGGCAAAACCAGAAGGGCTGATCGGGCGGGTAGACCCTAGAGGGCGGGTCGGGAAGAATCGCGAGGCGGTCACGAACGATAGTGCGATTCCCAAGTGACCGC